CATGTTGAGAGTCGTAGATTAATTTGCTTTTCTCTAGATGCGATCGGATGCTATCTGCTATAATTGATTCAAGAAATTTCCCCACTACTGACGTCAAACTGATCGGCCGGTAATTTGACGCTGATGCTCTGTCTCCCTTTTTAAATATGGGTACTACATTCGCCTGTTTCCACAACTCTGGCACAACTCCAGTGCCTAATGATTTTGTAAATAAATTTACGAGGGGTCCGCTAATCTGTTCCCTACACTCTTTTAAGACTCGAGGAAAAATTTCATCCGGCCCGGGGGATTTTGTGTTCTTTAGTTTATTTATCTTCTTAAGAACATCCTCTTTTCTGATGGTGATATTCTTTAATTTTTCTTCTTCCTTTCCCTTAAATATCAGTTCCACCTCCGGAATTTCATGGCAAATTTCTTCTGTGAAAACTGATAAGAAGTAGCTGTTCAATGCTTTGCTCATGTCTTCACTGCCATTTATCAATTCTCCCCTCCCTGACTTTAAAGGCCCAACTTTGTCCTTGACCTTTGTCCTATATACCTGGAAAAATCCCTTGGGATTCGCCTTGGATTCTCTTGCTATTTTGATTTCATAGTCTCTCTTTGCTTTCCTTACATTTTTCTTAACATTCCTAGATAGTTCATTATACCTGTTTCTGAGCTGCTCCTCCCCATCCTTTAATTTCTAATTTATTCCTTTCTTTATTCCTATGTCATGTAATAACTCTCGACAGGAGCTGCCATGCACAGGCCAACCGGCCAATAAGAACATAAGAACGGAGGAAACTGCAGCGGGCCTATTGGCCCATACTGGGCAGTCCTGTTTGCACCCAACCCCTATTGCTCATATAAGCATCCAACCTATGTTTGAAACTATTCAGCCTATTCGAGTTAATGATGATATTTGGTAACTTGTTCCATTCATCCACTACTCTGTTTCCAAACCAGTGTTTACCTATTTCACGCCTAAATCTAAATTTGTCTAATTTAAGACCATTGTTACGAGTTCGCTCCTGGTTGGATAGTTTGAGTACCTTTATAATGTCCCCTTTGTGTAGCCCTGCCTTCCACTTATACACCTCTATCAGGTCGTCCCTCGCTCTATGTCTCTCGAGGGAGTGCAAATTAAGATGCTTTAACCTGTCTTTATACTCAAGGTTCCTATTGCCCGGGATTAGTCTTGTCATTCTCCTCTGAATTCTTTCCAAGGATTCTATATCCATTCTGTAATACGGTGACCAGAACTGAACTGCGTAATCCAGGTGTGGTCTCACAAGAGCAAGATACAGTTTTAGGTTGACCTCGCTAGTCTTGTAACTAACACTCCTTTGTATGAACCCAAGTACTTTATTAGCCTTGTTACGAGCAAAAACACATTGTTTACTTGGCTTAAGGTTCCTACTTATCATTACTCCTAAATCCCTCTCGCAGTCGGATTTCTCTATGGCATCGTTGTTCATCTGGTATCTGGTTTCCCTGTTTACATCTCCTATACTGAGTACTTTACATTTGTCCACGTTGAATTTCATATGCCATTTTTCAGACCATTAAAATTTTTTTTTTAGATATTCCTGTAGTTTTGCAGAGTCCTCGTCAGATTTGATAACACGTCCTATTTTAGTGTCATCAGCAAATTTGCTTATGTTGCTGTCTATGCAGATATCTATGTCGTTTATGTATATAATAAATAATAATGGTCCAAGTACTGAGCCTTGGGGAACTCCTCTTGTGACGTTGCTCCAATGGGACTTAGTGCCGTTAATGCTCACTCGCTGTTTCCTGTCCTGCAACCACGCCCTAATCCATTTAAGGATATTATCTTTGATGCCATGTGCTTCTACCATTCTAATTAGTCTTTCATAGGGGACTCTGTCGAAGGCTTTGCTAAAGTCGAGATATACCACATCATAATTGTGCCCCTCGTCCACCGATTCGAAAACTGATGAAAAGAATGTTAATAGATTAGTTAGATATGAACATCTGCTTATGAAGCCATGCTGGGAATCATTGATCAATTGATGCTTCTCCAGGTGATTTCGAATAGAGTTTGAAATGATTGCTTCCAGTAATTTGCCTACTATTGATGTTAGACTGATTGGGCGGTAGTTAGAGGATAGTAATCTATTCCCCTTCTTGAAAATCGGTATTACATTCGCTATCCTCCAGGATTCTGGTACTGCACCTGTTTTTAAGGACATGTTAAACAATTTTGCTAAGGCCATACTAAACTCTTCCTTACATTCCTTTAATACTCTGACAAATATCTCATCGGGACCAGGTGACTTATTAGGCTTTAGTTTGTCTATTTGCTTACTACCATCGTTACTAGTCACTACTATCTCGCTTAATTTGTTTTCTTCACTATCTCTGAATAGAGTCGGTGCCCCGGGTATCATGTTTAAATTTTCGGTGGTGAAAACTGTTGAAAAATATTTATTCAAATTATTGCTCATTTCTCTGTCGTTATCAGTGAGTTCGCCGGTATCTGACCGTATTGGTCCAATCTTTTCTCTTGTTTTAGTTTGATACATTTGGTAGAATCCTTTGGGGTTTGTCTTCCCGTCCCTTGCTATCCTTACCTCATTATTCCTCTTGGCTTTCCTTATCTCGGTTTTAACCCTACTCGCCAATACCCTATAATAATCCCTGAGGTAAATTTCGCCACGATTTATCCTTCTACCTATAGCCTTCCTTTGGCCAATGATGTTCTTTAAATAATTATCTATCCATTTAGTGTCATTATTGTCTGATCTGAGTTTTTTGTAAGGTATGTTCTGCCTCTGTGCATTAAGTAACTCATTATTCAAATAGTCGTGGAACTCGGCAATCTCAGATCTCGTTACCAGGTCGGTGTCATCTGTCAGGTTCACGGCCAAGCGCGACACCCCCTCTCTCAGCTGCCTCTTTAAACTGTCAAAGTTTGCCCTTCTGAAATCTGGTACTTCAGTGGAATTTTCCTTACGTCTGCCCTGAAAATCTAACTGGAATCTAATTTCTTTGTGATCGCTGTTTGCAAGTTCGTTCCCTACCTCGACATTGCTAATGAGGTTTTCTCTGTTTGACAGAACTAAATCGAGGTTATTATTACCCCTGGTGGGTTCGGTTATATGTTGACTTAGAAAACAGTCCTAGATCGTCTCGAGAAAATCCTCTGATTCTGAGTTACCTGTAAGGTCAGTCCAATCTTTTTGGCCAAGGTTAAAGTCGCCTACTATACAGACTTTGTTGTGTATGGAAGCCCTGCGCATTTCATCCCAGATAAGTCTCTCATTGACTCTATCAAGATTGGGAGGTCTATATATTACTCCTGTGATTAATTTTTCCCTACTGTCGATTAATTCTATCCAAATTGTTTCTGTATTCCGCTCGGTTTTTATTTCCTTATTTATTTCACACTTCAGATTATCCCTAACATAGATTGCTGCTCCGCCTCCTTTCCTGCTCTCCGTATCGGTATGGAACAGTTTGTAACCCGCAATTTGGTATTCGACCGGTAACTCACGTGAGTCTAGGTTGATCCATGTTTCAGTGAATGCTATTATATCGATTTTTTCGGTACATACCAAGGCCCTAATATCATCCATTTTGTTTCTACTGTTCGCGTAGTATACATTTAAGTTAGTCGTGTTCTGAATCCTCCCCTTACCGAGTTTAGTTTTAAACTCCCTGTCTAATTTAGTTTTGTCATCATTCCTAACACTATTTCCCTGTAATCTTTCACTTTGTTTACCCGCTACCACTGCAGTCTCCTCCACCCCCGTGTTCATATGTTCTCCTAGCAGTTTAAAGACTTCAATATCTTTTGAACTGCCCCCTCTAGAGCTCCAGCCAGGGTTGCTACTCCATCCCTAGACAGATGCACCCCATCACTAGCATAAAGGTCCCTTCTGCCGTAAAAGTTGTCCCAGTTGTCAATGAATGGGACTGATATTGACTTGCAATATCTGTCAAGACGGTCGTTGACACCAACTGCCCTTGACAACCATTCACTGCCAACTCTCCTTCTAGGCAAGACACAGCATATGATAGGGATCCCTCCCTTAGTCCTAATACGATCTATAGCTGCCTTGAACTTATCAAGAAGCTCCTAGCTCCTACACCGGCCAATATCATTGCCTCCTGCACTGAGGCAGACAATGAGTTTGTTCCCATTACCAGACAAGATATTGTCCAGCTTGTCAATTATATCCCCCACCCCAGCTCCTGGCAAACACACCCTCATCCTATTTATGTTTTTACCACAAAAAGCCCTGTCCAAGTACCTTACCTATGAGCCACCAACAATTAAAGTTTTTATACCTTCCTTGTCAGCCCTGTCCCTGACTGTACTAACGTCCAATTCGTCTATCAAGGGACTGAACGAGTTGGTACACTTAACTGCTGATGTCATTGTTGACGTATCCTTGGTGTGTTTCTTCATCACCAGTTTGGCCATCTCTCTCCTTACAACCTTCCACTAGCTTGAATTTTCGTCAGACTCCATATTTTCTTATGTTCTTATGTATGTTTATCCTTCCTCTGAACCTCCTTCCCCCCTGTCACTAGCATTTAAGTCAATTCAAAGTCGTGGGAATAAAAATAACTACCACACTTGGAGAAATAGCAATAGCCACAGCATATTTACCGCCAAGAAGGAACTACCTACCGGCCCCAGACTTGATAAAACAATTGAACTACAACTGCCCAACATATACAATAGGATATTTAACCCAAGACATCCAATATTCGGTCACGGAAACAGGAACAGTGAAGGCACTGCACTGCATACGACAATGAACAGCTGTCACTACCAAAGCCTGTTCGTAAAATATCAAAACTGTAAATTAATGAGAAAATGTGAAAAAAAAATATTTTTCAAGAATATTATAGATTTAAAATTTTCTTTGAAGCTTTCAAGATTGGGGTCCATTTTTCAAGATCTTGATATTTTCTCAAGCAGTGGCATCACTACTACATAGGCAGGTAGATCAGTCATATAACTTTTATCATGTTGACGTCAACAGCTGCGGCAGGTGTCATGGTGCGTGACGGTGGTGGTGGTGAGCGACGACCCAGCCTTCCTCGCCACCTTCGCCGAGTGGTCCCTCAAGGGCCACCTCCTGGTGTGGTCGACGAGACTCCTCGCCGTAACTCACCTGCCTCTCCCTGACCTACGCTACATCCACAGGACCTTTTCCAGGATGAACGCTATGGTCGTCATTGTGAAAGGCGCACCTGAGACATTGAAGTATATAGTGCATTGTATTTCAAATTCCCCTTTCTTTTCGATTAACCTAATGAGGTTAATGCCACATTGAGAAATATGGTCACGCGGAAGGAATTTTGATGCTCAGGAAAACTAGTTGCAAAATTTTGCATTAAAAAATGATGGGGTTGAATTAGGAAATCTAATCAGTTACATATTTTTACACCGAAGTAGAAGCATGTTGTGCTGCATTATACCAAAGCATTACTATTACAGTTATTATAGTAACTGTATTATTCACAGGTGCAATGTGTACATACACTTACCATACAGTTCTCCAGAGGACCGAGCGATGCGTCTTGCCTTCTGGACGCCCCAGCGAGGTCTCACCCTCAATACCCACTTGCCGCTTTTCCCTGACAAATACTCCAAGTAAGTACAGCGAGAGGCACTTATTAGACTTGAACCGTCAGTGGCATCACTGATACTTCCGATCGAAACAAAATCTTTAGGGTTCATCAACTGTGAATAAAAAACTTATATATGAAGTGTGGTTGCAATTTGCCTGTAGAATTTATTGTAATAAAATCATTTATCTACAGACAGTTAACACGGAGCTTATATTCCCTCAAACAGTAATAGTCCTGCAGCTGATGAGGTGTTTGTGTGCAAAAGAGTACCATAAATTTCTCTTTGCATTATGAAAATAGACATATTGAAAGGTCGGAAAAATGCAGGTGGACATGCAATAGCCTGTCACACCGTGAAAAAGTGAGCGTACTGCTGGATCAATACTGTTCACTCGCACAGCTCTAACTTCTTTGCATTTCATCAATAGCCTCCAGAATTAGTCTGAATGTTGCCAATAAGTTGGAAAACAAGTGACTAATGTTTCATAAGAATCCCAATGTTGGTAAGGAAGTTAATCAATGCCCAATCTCAGTTACGGTAATGAAATGTCACGAATTCTTACGTAGGCGTTTCTTAAGTTATTGATAGCACGATGTATTATAACCAAATAAGAGTCTTCCACCTTGTATAAGTGCATAGGTAATTACAATACAAACATTATTAATTTCTAATTATCTCATTATCTTTATTACTTTATGAGAAATAAGCAAATTAATTGGCAAAGGCATATGTAGTCGAAAATTGGCAATCGGTAAAAGGTTAACACTTTACTAATGTACGTTTGATTATAATTTGATATTGACTGTATTTACTGTGTGCAATGTAGATTTATTGTGACTTAAATGTGTTTTTTTTTAATTTAATAATCAAAATCGGAGCATTCATATTCGACGAAAAGATAATGCAAATTTTGAGAAACTATAATACGAAAGCTAAGGTGCTCCGTTGTTTCCCTTTTCCCGTGTGATTTTATCATATATATATATATATATATATATATATATATATATATATATATATATATATATATATATATATATATATATATATATATATGTAATATTCAGAAATTTCAGAGTAATTTCAAATGCCCCGCCATGAGTGATACTGAGCGTTCAAGGTCATCTGAGGGGAGGGAGCGCTGCCTGCTCGTAGCGAGAGACTGCGGAACTAGGCCTATATGATATTAAATGTAATTTACCGAATTAATAATGATGCGATTCATGAAGTTAAGGGACTATTATTGAATTTGAAATTATTATAGATCGTTTAGCAGTCTGAATAATGTTACGGGTGTCCCAAGGAGTTATTAGTTAGGCGGTAAATATATCACGTAGGCCCAAGCTAGCGCCTTGGGGAGACACGACGCTGGCTAGCCCAGTCCCGGAGAGCAGTCACACAGACAAGACGTTCCGCGCGTCCATCAGAAATAGTCACGTGGCCTAGTCACCTGTGCTGCGCTATTGCAGTATAACAAGTAAGTCTCATTCGATCTCAGACAGGGTTAGATAGGGCAGTGGTAAAGTTAACTAGAGCTAACAGTGAGTTCATTTCAGGGTTTCCGTCAGAACCCACTTGACTGGAGTTGACCGGAGTTGACCGGAGTTTGACTGCGAGAGATTGACTGCCGTTTGAGACTGCCGTTGATGATTGAGGGTGGCGACTGTCGCCATTGGACCGATCAGAGTAGGCCTGTCACTGTTTAGCGGGGTACCAAAGGATCTCTTGAGGGAATCTAGCCGTCTGGGTGCCCAGCGGACGTCGGCTCACAACACCACATGTCCAGAGCCGCTTAGTGAAACCCTCTTGCTAACGGGAAGCTAAAGCTCCTCTCAACTGCACAGGGTCTGATTGGCTCACTCTCTTCCTGCCCATGGACGCACTGGGAGTACACTGGGGCTATCTGAGTATATTAATGGTCACACACTGAGACCGTGAGTCTAGGATTCTAGGAGATACCTAGAGGAACATTTTATCTTCCTTATTACGGGTGTAGTTAACACCATTCCTCAGACTGATATTATCTTGACGTGTGTAGTTTAATATTTCTTAAATAATTCTGATAGTAGTGTTTTTTTGAATGTTTGTGCCATTAAGTGGAACCAGAGTGATACTGTGATTTGATTCTTTTAATGCCTCTAATTCTTCATAATTCTGATCTCAGGTATAACCTTGTTCCCCAGAGCAGTGGTTAGGTTAGGTTAGGAAGTGTACACCTGTTGGGGTGCTATAATTTTGTTGAGTGATATTATTTTGCTGAAAGCCCTTAGGGCCTATTCATTGTAGAGTATTTAATTTCTTATCTTTTATTACCATTCCTCAGTGACTGATATTATTTTGTTGAAGACCCTTAAGGCCTATTCATTGTGGAGTATTTAATTTCTTATTTTTTAGTACCATTTCCTAAGTGACTGATATTATTTTGTGAAAGCCCTTAAGGCCTGTTCATATGTGCAATTAACATTTCTTGATACTTTAAATTTATTGTTGCCTGTGTTTCTAATAATTTCTATGTCATGTATAACTTTTATTCCCCAGAGTAGTGGTTAAAGTTTAAGTTAAGAGGTGCGCATATTGGTGTACCATTATTTGATTGTGTTTGTAGTGTTGGAGGGAATATAAGTGTCTAAATTTTACAGTGTGTCTCATTCATCCCAGTCACAGACGCTATCCTTCCACGGGTCACGGACAGTTCATTTTGTGTAGTAGATTTAAGTGTTCTTGTGCTGGTTCGGGATTTTTCTCAAAGGGGCGCTTCCACTGCCTTTACCATCTATTAAATTTTAATAAACCCCAAGTCAAGTGAGAAATTAAAGTCCAGCAAATTCCGACCGGTTACATATATATATATATATATATATATATATATATATATATATATATATATATATATATATATATATATATATATATATATATATATAACTTCAGCAATGGACTTGTTACGTGGAAAGCGTAGTTTCATAACGAAGTGGAGAACCAGGGAAAACACAAACATCTTGACTAAGTTGGGCTTCTTTTAATCGCTAACGTTTCGGAAAAATCATTTTCCATCATAAGAGCCTAGAAAACAAAAGTTTTGAAAAAGTTTAAAAAATACAGGTGATATACAATCAAAATATAACATTTATACGAAAATTTACCTTCAATAAAATAAAAAAAAAATAGCAATCCAATTTAAAACCGACGAAAATGACAAGAGACCTACATACAAAGCTAAAATCAGGAATAAAAAGTGTGAAATAAAATATACGTGGGGGGGGGGATTACCTTAATTCAGACGAGCCTTAGTGCGAAAAACACAACAATTCACAGGAAGCCATATCACAAATGGATGGCTTTTCTTTATATTGGTGCAAGGCTTCCATAATGAGGAGGTCCGTCTCACAGTCGCTCTTGCCAAGAACGAAGTTGGATAGGCACATGGAAGTGCTGGGATGGGTGTGAAAGGGATCTGCCCTGTATGGGCCAGTCGGCCTCCTGCAGTATCCCACTTTCTTATGTTCTTATGTTCTTATGAAAACGGGTGGTCATGTTGGTGGGCGTGGTTACGAATAGCTGAATGTGGTGGTTGTGTTATTAAATGGCCTGTTCGAACGGAACGGCCCAAGTGTTCATGGATGCAAGTTATCAAATGTCTTTTAGCTTTACCTATATACAGTATGCTGCCCTACAGCTAGCACACGTAAATTGATAAACAACTGAGGATTGCAGGTGTGTGGGTATGGTGTCTTTAATTTTAAAGAATTTTTTAATTGAACTCTGGGTTTTAAAGATTAGTCTAAGAGAAATTTTATGGAGACTATGAGAGGGAATTCTGCTTCTACTTTGCAAATCAAGTGTAACTGATGGTTGAATAAACTCTACTTCTAGAAAGAAATGATCATTTAATGGCAACCTTTTCTTTATCTCCTGAAAAGCTGTCTGATAAAAAGACAAACATCTAGTTTTGAACTCAGTGATATCACAAGCTTTAAGGTTTTCTTGTTTAAGTAGATCTTCACACTTTTGCCCGAGGTGGATTTCAGATAGAGGTAGAGGGTGATCCAAATTTAAAGGCTCAATCTTGGATACATCACACAAATATTGTGGCTTTATGAAGTTCTGACTAAGAAGTCTTGCAGTTCTTTGGCTCTCTTTCTGTAGTACACCAACCCGATTCTTTTTTCTCTGAAAGAGAGCATTGAGAGAATTAAAGTATCCCAGAATAAACCTCATGAATTCTAAATATGCCTTTGTGAAGGGGTTGTTAAATTCATGCATTATGTGTTCAGCTGAAAGATTTCTATCCTCAATTTGTGCTTGAAAGAACAGCAATTTTAATACTTCCCACTGATCAAGAATGCGAGATATGCAATGCTGCATGGCAAGCCACAGTGTATCAGATGGTCTCAGAATGTGTTGCCTTTCAGCATTCATAAATGTCTGTAATTCTACAAGCAGCGCCTGCAGTTTTATGCTATGCCAAATATAGCTGGAAATATTCCCAATGAAAGCTTCCACACTGGTAGGTAGCTTGAGAGCTGCTTTACTTGCAGCAATGTACATACAATGACAAATACACCTCAACAGTGGGAAACTTCTATCAGCTTCCTGTCTTAATTTTGTCATTAAAGAATTCTGTTCTCCTATCATGACACTAGCATTATCAGCAGCCATTCCTATCATATTGTGTAGGGGAATGTCTTTCTCCTCAAATCATTTTCTGACTTCATTTGCAACTGACTCTGAGGAACAATCTCGTGCATCATGTGAAATAACTGCCAGCAACTGAGTAACAACATCATTTTGGACATGAGAAGACTGTTGAAGCATAATGGACCCTAAATGAATCATAAGAAAAATATGTTTAAAATAGCTTGCTGTTCTTACCTGCAGCCATACATCTCTAAACCTTTGTTTCCTGGGAGTTTCCTTTTCTTCTTTATCAAGCTCCCGACGGTAACGTCTTTTCTTTTTGGGTGTAGAGGGGGAATCAGTCATGCTGCCACTATGTTGTCCCGTTAACACAGTCCTAAATA